TTTACCTTTACATAATTCATTAATTGTTTTGGAGATATGATTGGGAAGCAGATGATACCCCTCCAAAAATTAACCTGTGTTATTACATGCTATGAGCCTGATACACAAGGTCTGGGCTTGTTATGAGCTGTACATAGAATCCTAGAATATTCTGAGCTGGAAGGGACCCACAAGGATCGAGTCTACCCCCTGGCCCTCACAGGATATCCCAAAAATGCCACCATGTGCCTGAGAGCTTTGTCCAAATATTTCTGAACTCCTAACGCTTGGGGCTCTGCCCCGGGGAGCTGCTTCCAGTGCCCAAATTCCCTTRGATAAAGAAACCTTCCCTAGACAAGAAAATTTGGTGTGTGCATGACACTCTCCAAATGGGTGTCAGAGCTGGAAAGCCCTTGCAGGAAGGACTCAGTTCATTGAATTTTCAGGTCAGATCCCTTCCCTGCTCCTTCTGCTCTTTGGTGACCCAGGAAGAACAACTGAGGTTTCTCAGGGATTCCCAACTCTGGTGATTTCCCACCCACCTGAGCTTTCTGCCCATATTTTACAGGTTTGGTTCTTTAATGAGTTTGTTTTGTCTGCTGTGCCAGATTCARAACATGAAATGTTGCCAGGGTGGGTTTCCTATCCATGTGTGATGTGAGGGCACATCCTGCAACAGTTTAAGAGATGATTTGATATATTCAGGTTATAATTCTTTATTGGGGAAACCACAAGTGGAGACTCTTGCCTCAATTTATCCACTGATTTTCACAAACCTAGCAGGACTGCAGCACCTTTATGGTCTTGCTCCTCCTGTTAAACCTCACTRAAATTGGCCAGGTTCAAGTGTGAGCCAGATGGCAGCAGAGATGCTATGGCCTCATAAGCTCTGTTTGCTCCAAACCATCTTTCCAGCTCTGGAACACGCTGAAGCCAGAGCGTGGAACTGCCACCTCACTGCAGCAGCTGCCTCCAGCCAGCTCCAGCTTCACCACTCAGGGTTTGTTTAATGCCAGCTGCTCTTCCTCCCATCCTGGCTTTCAAGCTCCCTGCCATTTTTCCTGAAGCTGGAAAAAAGCACAGGAGGGAAATGCCCAGCACCAGCAGCTGACAGCTTTCCTTGGCTCTGCAGGATGCTCCTGCTTCATCCCACAAGCACACGTGGGGTGGGCACTCAGCCACAGCCCTGGCACTCACAGCTGCTGCTGCTCTTCAGGCTTACTGAGAAGTATTTCAATTAACACCAGAGGTCAAATACAGGGTGCCAGGCAGGGAAAAAAAAACAAAAAAAACCCCAAAAAAACCAAACCAGACAGAGTTTTGCTTGCCTGAAAAAAAAATAGCGAGAGGGATATTTTTATCCTGCTCAACTGTAGGCAGAGGGAAAGGTGCTGGATTCTGTGCATGATAAAGATGTTTAGGACATGGCCACAGAGTCCTTTGAGATAAGAAATGGTTATCTGAATGATTTTTCTTTGGGGTTTTGGGTTAGTAGGTCCATTCCTGTGGTGGCCAGAGCACACTCAGACTGCAGGGCTGCAGRGTCCCCATGTCCCCTTTAGCACACAGAGATGGTGGCATTTGGGGTCTGTWGGGTCAGTGTGGGATGCAACCAGACCCAGATCGATAACAGATTAATTAGACAAGACAGGAGGAAAACCAGAAGGGGGGGAAGGATGTGGGTTTCTAGAATTGTCACTCTGTCACCCGCCCTGCTTGATGAGAGATGTGCAATTAGTATTTCAGAATTAGTGATTTATGTATTAGTTCACGTAACTTTCCCACGGGTTGTTTAAACAGAACTGGACATAAACACCACAGTCATTCGGCAAAGGAACTTAAGAATTCTGTTGCAGCTGGAGATTGCATGGTGCTTTTCTCCCAGAAAACAGGGAGGATAATCCTTTGGGATTCACAAAGTTGAGGAAAACTGCACTGGTGGTTCAGGGCAGGCGGCTGTTTCACTAAACTTGTGTTAGACCACACCCTCTTCTCTCAAAGATCTTAAGGAGGTGCTCTTTCATCTCCGGGARGGGTGCAGGACTGCAAGAAAAGGGTCACCAAACAAAATTGTTTGATGTCTTTCCTCAGTCCCTACAGAGCTGCCTTCCCTCTAAATCCYGTAGCTTCCTCTGTGCTGTGGTAATTTAAGGCACGTTCTTTGAGCAAACTCCCTTTTCTCTCCTCAAACAGATCCTCTGGATTTATTCTCTTCTTGATAATGCAAGGGTGGCACAAGTGATTACAAACTCTTGGTCTTTTGTTATTAGCTGTTGTTCTTCTGCTTAATTTGACTTATGAAGAAAAAAAACATACAAATCAGAAATYACTTGAAAGACACACAGGCAGGTGGTGCATATGAGAGTAGACTAATCCAGGCCTTTTCTCACTGGAAACCTTTTGGTATGGACTGGGTGGAAAAATAGAGAATTTTATGATCTTGATTAACTCATTTTCTCTCTCTGTGAGTGTGGAGAGGCCCTGGCACAGGGTGCCCAGAGAAGCTGTGGCTGCYCCTGGATCCCTGGAAGKGTCCAAGGCCAGGTTGGACAGGGCTTGGAGCAKCCTGGGACAGTGGAAGGTGTCCCTGCCCATRGCAGAGGSTGAAACAGAATGACCTTTAAGGATCCTTTCAACCCAAACCATTCTGGAATTCTGTGATTGAACTGTCACATGTGAGCACTGAGATTTTTGTGCCAGATGGTGTTGGTGGAACTGAACAGGTACTGAGTCCTCTAAGAGGTGACAGCAGAAATGATTAAGAACAGCTCAAACACTGACATTAGGCAGAGAGAAGCTTAAATGAAGAACTGGAGTGTTTTCTAGTTAGAAATCTCTAGTTGTCACCTTAAAAGACAAAAAAATGTTAAATTCAGAGGAGGAATTTATTCTTCTTAASTGTTGCAAGGCTTCAATCAAGAGCTCACTAAATGCTAGCAAGGGGTGCTAGTGAGAAGGTCTGGTGCAATCCTTGCAGCTTTGCTTTCCCATTGGAGTSAGTTGGAGGGTTCTGAGTGATTTCAGAGGGTCAGAGTAATGTCAGAGTGGCTTAAAGGCATTCAACAAACCCCCTCAACCAGATGTTCTAGTGGACCTCACCATTGCACAGCTRCATCATCCAGTGTTGTGCTGGCAGCACTTGGTAGCGTTTGTGCCAGGCAGGAATTTTTGTGATTTGTAATTCTGTGCTTGATAAGCAGTGTATGCACCCTTCCATGAACTGTCCTCTCCTCTGATGTAAAAACAAGTGTATTGAGCTTTTTTTTTCAGTGGATCTGCTGTATATTTTATACAATCTGCTTCACAGCATTGTCACTGAGGAGTAATTCATAGCCTCTCTGGAAAGATAGTGGGTAAAGGCATGGATCCTTTCAGCTGGAATTTTGTCCTAAATCTCTGAACCACATAAATATATGTTTGTAGCTAATGAAAACGAAACTTATCCTACTGCACGTAGCAACTATGGAGTAATTTTACTACTGTAATGATAAAATGATCCATTCCCTCTGACAGCAGATAAGCTCCCAAGAATTTTTCACTTCCCGTGTGTTAATGCAGTCCCAGGCTTCAGTCTGAATTAAAACAATCTAATTCCATTTGCAGAAAAATCACAGAATGGGCCATAGAAAGTCCCAGGGTGGATATCAACCAGTTGTATCATTTAGCCTGGGAACCATCACTCATTCCCTGGTGTAAATAATTAKATCATAGAATGACAGAATGGTTTGGGTTGRAAAGTCCTTAAAGCTCATCTTAAGGTCCGTGGGYAGGGACACCTTCCACTGGATGAGGTTGCTCAGGGACAGYGCTCAGGGAAATGTTCTATAAAACTATGAGGCACTTAAAGCTGAACCTTTCAGCAGCACAGTAAAACAGAAAAACACTCATAACACCCCYATTATTGACTCACCTCAACTGCAGCTCCTGAGCAAAAGCTTTAATCCACTCAATGTGCTCAGTTCGAAAATGGAGCAACTCTGTTGCTTTTGTCTTGAGGTTTTTCTTACCACTGCTGTTTTGGATTAGCACAGCCCAATGAATACCACAAGTATTTCCATGTCTGGTCACCCCCACCTCAGATAAATTGAAGATGTTCTTGCTGGTTTACATATGAGACCAAATAATATCTTTTGGATGTCTGTGTGCACGCTTGTGCACACGTGTCCATGCAAAAATAGTTACACATTCTTTAAAAAATTCACTATCAGGGCCCTAAAAAAGCAGATCTAGTGGGAGGTGTCACTGGCTATGGCAGGGGAGCTGGAATGAAATGACTTTTCAGGTCTTTCCAACCCAAACAAATCTGTGATTCTAGAAAACCTTCACTGCGAAGTACATGGCTTGAAGTTTAGGGGTGTGGAGGACCCTTTAAACTCGGGCATCATTTTGCCATTGCACATCATGAGTCAGTCCATTTTCAGTTTTCAAGTTATTCAGTGCTTTGTATTGAGCTGCTGTGCTTGTCCTCAAAGCAGAGGCAATAATAAGACCAGATAATCTGAGAAAGCTAAAAAGGTATTTGAGAGGAGGAATGTTTGTCTGAATGCGGATGAGCGGCAGGAGAGCCTTAAAAAAAAAAACCAACAAAAAAACAACAAACCTGTAAAGCAAAAGACTGCCCATGCAGCAAGATGCTTTAATTCTAAGCTCTTCAGTCTCTTTTTATGAAACAACAGTGCAATTSTGCTTTTTRGAGGCAGACAGGGACACGCACCAGGAAACCTGRTCAGAACACAGCCAGACCTGTGGCAAATCCCTCATCCCCCAGACCACAATGAGCAAAGGGGCAGCCCCCAAATTGTGACAAGCATTCCTGAAGGCCAGCAAGCTCTCCAATGCCAACATCCTTCTATTCCTTTGCCTTTCACAAGGTCCCTGTGAAGCCAGCTTGCCCAGGGCACAGTGGAGGAGATGCCGATGCCACTCTGGACACAACGTTTGCATCTTCTCCTCTGCTCTCTGGCTTCTTCAAGAGTGGGAAGGGGTGAGCTTTGAACTCCTCTGGATTTTTCTCTTTCCAGTTTTCCCTCCAGTTGTGTGGCCGGTGGGACGAGGATTCCAGCTGGCCTGCKGGCCACCAGCCGCGAGATGGCGATAATGTCACGATAGAAGAAGGCCGGACCGTGCTCTTGGGGAGCACCACGAGCATCCTCAACCTGCTGCATCTCAAAGGTCTGCAGGAGGGGGGATCGGGGCTTTTCATCCTCCAGGGCTGGGGTTTTTCACGGCCCTTCCATTCCCTTGCTCCGGCATCAGAGGAGACACCTGGTTGTGCAGATGTCTGCATCTCAGCAGATGCAAGGGGGCACTGATGGGGGACAGGGCAAGAATTTARTTATTCTGTGTGCAGAAGGCATTATTTATGCTGCCTGAGTCATAAAGGCAATATAAGCAAAAATAYCTTTTTTCCTCTCATTTTTCTTTCCCCAACTTACCAAAATTGTTGCTGTCCTGAGCAGTGTTCAGTGATAATGGCACTGCTGATAACAATAATTGACTTTGTTCTGTTTGGCATCTTTGAAGCAAGAGTGTCTCAAAGACATTTACAAAATTAATGATTTTATAGAATTATAGTCAAAACTACCAAATTATTAAATAATAGTAAATTATTTCAATTAATTAAATAATATTAAATTATTTAATATTATTAAAGAATCCCAAATCCTAGAGCATGGCTAGTGAGCAGTAAGTAAATAACTGAGCACAATTATGATGGGAAACCCCAGATTTGCTGGGTTTATGTACCCATACACAACCCAGAATGAGATAGGTATATCTCTGTGGGTGTCAAAGTAAAAATTAAAATGACTTGTAATTCCATGCCAGAAATATTTTCCCTCTGGAAGTTTGCTCCTAGTTGTGGAAACTTCTGTACACATGCTTGGTATTAAGGGAATGAGTTGTGCTGGTAAAATTTCTAGGTCAAAGTTAAGCCTCTGCTGAAATAGGGCTCAAAAAATGAAAACAGGAGTTTTCACATGTTTAAAGACTTAGACCTTTGCCRGTAAAATTGGTTTTATACTAAAATGATATTATAGGTATTAGTTTTTCATTGAGATGATGGTGAAACAAATGCATTTGACAATTATATTTGAATTYAAATCTGAATCATAATTCTATAAAGAAAKAAYTTTGCATGTTTATCCCTCTCATGGYAACATTTCCAAAACTGAGTGAACTTGCCCAGTCTGGGTCCAGAGGTTTTCAAGAATTGCTACATCAGATAACACTCTGGTTTTCAAACAAAATTATATAAAAATCAACTAAAAATTTGAGATTTAAAGAAGGCGAAACMCTTGGGTTCAATTTTCTTCCCCAGTGAAAACCCTAAATCTGCAATTCAAGATTCTTCTTAATCTCATTGGGATTATGACATATTTTAGAGGAGTCAGGTCAGAGAGGCTTTTGGCTGCAAATCTGGATGAGGATTTTGGGGCTCAGTCACTGACTTTGTGAAGAATTGGGRCACAATATTGGAGCAGAAACCTCCTGAACTTTGGACCTATTCAAAAGCTCATTTGATCTATGAGTCAGCACTCATGAAGCTACCAGAGCCCTGATTGAATTTAATGAAGTCTGGAGCAGTATCTTTATGGCTTTGGCTCATCTGACATTCAAATCATTCCTCCTCTTTATTGTGTTTTCCAAGAAGCCTGGTTTATAACATCAATTCAGTTAGAAAAGCAGCATTAGAATATTCTAGATGCTGTTATTTTCTCCATTGTTACATACCAAACAGAAGGACCAAACATTTTAGAAACCATAACCTGCATTGGGAATTGTTTATCTGACGTTTGTGAAATTGCCTGTTGCATCCACTCCCACATCCTTGAGTTCCCTGGCTGTTTACCCTTGCTTAGATTAGCAATCTGACATCTACTCTGAAATGGGGATGAGCTTTATCTTTCCTCACCTTCCCTTTTTTTTTTTTTTTTTTTTTTTTAAGTCGTCCAGCTCAGGGGAGTTGTTTAGGCTCCTGTATTGATAGAAACACAAAGACTTGCTCATTTTAGGAATTATAGATACCCCTCTCAAACTGAATCACAGGTGATCCCTCAGAGCAGCASACACTAACTTTGTGAGAATGTCAGATAATTAACCTCTTTCTGCAGATTAAGGATGGGCATGGCAGTAACCCCCTAATCCCTAAGGTTGGTGTAAATACGTGCTTTCATTGAAACGTCCCGTTCCCGTCCTATCTGGAGAGTTTTTCTTACTCAGAGCTGGAGAATGGGATTAAATTATAGCTCTGCTCCCGTTGGCTTTCATGACTGATCATCAGGCTGTCTGTGTGCTCTTAAGCTGAAAATACAAGGCTTTGTAAATGGAAAAAAAGGCTGTAACGCTGCTGAATCCACTGCTGCTACACTGCCCCTTTTCTGGTGCTGTATCCAGCAAACCCAACACATTTTCACAGGCCCATTTCTTGAAATTCCCCTTTTTTTTAAGACACCATGAGGATTTTGAATACAGCTCCTGTGTCGTCTTCTTTTGATGATTTCAGCATTGCAGGAATTGTTTAAAGAACTTTTTACAATGAGGACATCAAGTCCAAGTGCAGCTTTTCTTTGGCTGCATTAACATATAGCCCCAAACATATAGAGGTTCTGGGAATGACCAGGCTGCGTGGGCAGAAGATCTGGAGGTGAAAGCAAGAAGAAAATAGGATCAGGCAGCTGGGTCCTGCTCACTGCCATGAGGGCTCAGCAGTTTTTTCCTCCTCCTCAAGGAGCTGAGCATGAACACACGGATATCGAGAGTGGAGAGTTTAATAGTCAGGCTGTGAAACAGCTCAGACAAGACAGATTGGGAAAGAGATACAGGATAGACAGACTGCAARAAATTCTGTATGTTCAGCAGATTGCAGTCATTTTTGTAATCCAGACATCACGAGTATGGAAATGTTTATGATAACCYAGGACAGATGGAAATTTCCTTTGCACGGGGATGACGCTGGAGGAACTCTTTGCGTTTGATGGGTTGATACCTCAGACATGTGTTGTTGCCTTTGTCTGAAATTATAGTGGTTTTGGGAGGTCTGGAGATAAAAAAAAAAAAGCTGCCTGGTCTTTCAGGAGTTTTTTGGAGATGAGTTTTGGGGTGACACTGCCTGTACACCCCAGTGGAATTGAAGATCCCTGCCTGGGCAGTTGCTCTTGCAAAGGTGGTTTTGAAGTGGCCACCCTTGCAGGCATAAGGGAGAAGATTGCTTTGATCCTTGTACTGGRAAAGCCTCAATTTCACTGAAAGAAWAATTTAGGTTGGAAAAAGCCTCYAGGRTCACARAGTCCAACCTCTGACCAACCASCACTTWGTCAACTAGACCAGGGCACTGAGTGCCACGTGCAGTTTTTCCTTGTTTCTCTGTGAATATTTTGAATTTCTTGTAATCCACTCTTTGATCAGAGTGTGGCCAGAATGGATCCTGTGAGTAAATCTGGGGGTARGGAAAACACAGATATTGATTTTGCTTGTCTCTTCCTCGTCTTTGATGCTATTAGCCACAAGCATCAAATATTCACTGATACACTGACTTCAATAGTTGTCAAATAACCACTGCTTCAGCCACTGGTGATGAGGACTGGGTTTTAATTCACTGAAAAAAGGAAAAAGTGTTTCCCTCTGTTTTCTTCTCTATRGCATCAGCCAGTCCCTAAACTCATTTTTAAATCTCTTGTCAGTAGGCACAGTTGGAACTGCTTGTGTTGCAGTGTTTTCTCTGCCATTTTGATCAATCCATTTGGGATATGCATTGTGATACTTTTTTTTTTTTTTACTTTTTTTTTTT